AGAGAGAGAGAGAGAGAGAGAGAGAGAGAGAGAGAGAGAGAGAGAATACTGTGCAAATTGCTCTAATGTCTTATTTGAATGAAGTGCATTTATTTTTTTACCAATATTTGAAATATAAGTCAAGTATTGAAAGATCTTTATTGTGTCCTTTGTGCAAAGAAAGTAGGATTTGCGTTCTTACTGTGTTCTTATACATGGGGAACAGAGGTAGGCCAAATGAATATTTGAGTAGTTGTTCAAATATGTTTGAAAAACATCCCAAAAGCTTTCAAAAGAACTTAGTTAAGGCTCGGTAATATGGTAGGTACAGTGGTGAGATTCAGCCGGTTCGCACCAGTTCGGTAGAACTGGTAGCTAATTTTTTGTTGCCCAGGCCTAGAATGGACTTCCAGAAGCAGCATCCACACAGAGAACCAGTTGTTCACATATTTGAATCCCACCACTGGGTGAATATGTACTTTTCATGTGGTGAAGGTCCTAGGAATTTACAACTAGATTACTCATTGGAAGAGGATCTTTGGATATTTATCTCTTTTTTTCTAGTAAGAGATATTCAATTAAGAAAAAAAAATTGAAATATTCTTATTTAATTCATACAGTAAATGTAGATACTAATGAGATAAAATACCAAAGCCCTAAGTTATCTTACAGCAGAGATAAAGATTCTAAAAAACTGAAAAAAATGAAAAAGAAAAAAATGCTGTTGCTTTATAATATACTGTAAATGACTGGAAATAATTCCATCGCTTAATCTTAAGAACATTATTATAGAACATTTGATTGTAATAGGGCTGTGTATATAAAAAAGAAAATTATTGTAATTTAAAATTATGTGGAGGCTTGTAGATCACTTGCATTTACTGTAGAGTCGGTTTTATAAAAATTACTATTTTTAACATTAATAAAATCACTTGTTTTTTAGTAACTGCATGCAAAAGAATATGCTTTTTTACAAACTGATTCAATTTTTATTAAAGTAGTTTTAATACATGCTGATATTTTATTTATTTAAAGTATACAATTACAACCCAAGTAAAATAGATCTTTTTATAACTTGCATGAAGTCAGAATGGCACTAAGCTATATATCCAGTGACACATAATAATAATACCAGTTAAGCATGTTTACTGTGGACACTATGCTGAACAATAAATACACAATGCCATTCTAAAACATCATGGTCATGTTACTACCGGTATGTACCATGTCCTTAATATAATCCTGCCTTTTTTGTTTTAATCATGTTCTTAAAGTTTTGAAAACAATTTAAAATGCTGTAGTAATTGCTGATAGGCAAGATGATTCTGAATAATTAAATAAGGAAGCTGTACCAACCCTTTTAAGTATATTAAACTTCCTCCACAGACAGTTTAAGGGAAACAGAATATTTTATCTCAGCAAGCAATACATTGGAAATTGCTGATAATTACACAACATTGTATCATTCAAAAGATATCCATGTTTCATGAATATAAGAAAGAATTTTAGCATTTAAAATTCCCAGTAATAAATGTATGCTTTTCTAGAATATATTTAAAAGATTATACATATGATAGAATGGTACATTGTGATTAAATAGGAATACAATGCTAGCAATAGCTTTGTAGCAGTCTTGCATATTTTAAAATTCATAGTCTTTAAAAAGGCTATTTAGCACGGTATGTGAGTGTACATATACCAATTTATTTGCTTTGGACTTATTTAATTATAACTCTTTTAATTATTGTGTTATACACAGTGGGACTAATTAACACTTGTAATTCAATTAATTTTGAATCTGATGAACTAGAAAAGAAAATTTAACATGGGAGCTGATGATGCAAAAGCTTTAGTGTGTTTGAAGGCACAGAATGATCTGTACGTAAGCAGAGTTGGGTCAATCTGTTAACTCAGTTAAATAGCATGAGAAAATGGAATCACAATATACAGATTACAAAAACACAGTCTGCTATCTTCTTAATTAGAGACAATGACATTAACAAAAGACTTCCAATCAAATTCAGTGTCAGCATCATTTGTATGGACAGACAATGTCGATTAGAAGCAAACTTGGGGAGATTTGATGCTAATCAGTGTCAAATCTGCCAGCCTAATCAAGGATGCACCAGTTGTGAAGTATGTCAAGCAATGTTGGTAAATCACTGATACCCATCAACTTAAATATATATCAGTTTCATTAATTGGCAACTACAAGACAAGTGTCGAATGCTCAGGATTGCAAGGATTCTGATACAATCCACCACACTGTGGTTAACTATATGATTCATGTAATAAGAAAAAGGTGCCTGCAGGCTATTGTTCCTAGCATGGATTAAAATTTGCATATTGCCTCTCCTTATGTCAAAACATCTGGTGTCTGCAAATGCTAACATTTCGTTAAAAAGTTTCATGAGCAAGGAAAAGTAGCCTGGAAATATTGCATGTGACTCATTCAAGCATTATAATTGAATAAGAGGCAGGGCTAGGGAGAGAAAGACTGATGGAAAACAACTGTATAGGGAGAATTATGGGAGGGTATATATTGTAAAGAGACAGGAACAATGTTCATATTGTACAAGCATTGCTTTTTTCTTCCAGGTGTCATTAAAAATGACAATTATTCTGACTGAAGTTAGATGTGATGCTAGAATGTCACCATTAAGATAATATTAATCTATTAATTATTATATGGAAAGGAGATAAGGAGAATGCTTTATCTAGCTGACATTCTTAATACTCTCTTATATTATTTTTGGTACTATTGCATATCTTTCTAAACATGCATGTATCCATATATTGTGAGATGAAGTAAAATGAGCGAGCATAGTTTAAACATTCTTTTTAGTAATTTGTGTGGTTCCAAGATTGTACTAGGTATTAGAAGTATGCTTATGTTTGCAGATGTGGTATATAGCCAGCCTTTTCTGAAAGGTCAGGTATCATTAGGACTTGGAAGGAGGAACTGTTTGAAAACTGTTTGAAAATTCAGGGGATATAACTAGATCGAGAAATTCAAAAAAATATCCTAGAAGAAGACAATAGCAAATCACTTCCATGGTTTTTCCAAGAAAACTGCTTGGATGAATTTTGCTGAGACTGATTCAATATTATCTGTGATATTTGTATCTTACAAAGAAGTGCACAAAGGTGCACTGAGAACTCTGCTTTTTTTTGAATGTCTTAATGATAAATATCATACAGATTTTACAGCCACAGGAAGTCAAGAAATTCCTATCTCTGTCAATGAGGCTGTAAAATATTCTATTGTATAGCTCATATTTACTAACCTGCAGACTCTTTTAAAAAGCAGTGCTGACATGCATTTTATATTTCATATTCAATACACCATGCTTGTTTATATATTTGTAAGTAACCCTAATCAGCTGCAATAGGCCATGAAGAAAGAAAAGCAGAAATAGACGATAATCCCTAACTTATATACTCAAGATGATGTCCCTCAATCATTCATTTTGAGCCAAACATAGATTGGAATAGTACTGTATGGTTTTAGCTCCTTGTGAAATGCAATAAAAGAAAGGGGAAAGCATATCTTTTGGAGAATTGCGTCCCAAGCT